TTCGAACTCGCGTATCCAATGTTTTTGGAGCTCTGTTTTAACGTCTTTGACGGGGTTGATCGGCTTACCCTCGGCATCCTGACTTGGATTTATTGGATTGATTTCAACACTGTCAATCCAAGCTATCTGCCCGACTCTAATGTCGTAGCGCGCTGCTCGCTCCGCCAATAGTAGCTTCATGGGAAGGGCTCCAGTCGCAACACAAAGCGCCTCATATGGGGCTGTCCTGTACGCGCTTGCCACTGTCACTGTCAGCAGCGTACGTTTCAGTATTTCGCGCAATTTACGCCAATCGAGGTGATAACGATCCATTCACCCTTCGGCCCTATATGCCGCTACTGGTTCGAGTATCCCGCGGAAAACTTTACGGAAAGAGCTGTATCTTATGCCCTTGTCCTTGTGCAGCACCAGACATGCCAGCTGATCGAAGAGTTTGGTCGCTTTCCTCCCGATGAGTGGGCTGTCCGAACGGACGCCCATATACCTATCGAAGTGTACCCCGAGGTACTTGACGCTCTCGCAGAACGCGATCTTCTGCCCGTCGAATGGATGGCCAATGAGCTGCCCCTTCTTGGGTCGCGCGGGATGCCGATCCCATGTAAGTCTAAGTACAGAAATCTCGGGCTCCTCCCTAAGTTTACGCTAGTGGGCTTGACCACACAGTCGTCCTGGCGGCTCGGCTTTAAATTCCATGGCAGGACAATTGCCTTTGCCTTACTCTTGGATAGCTCGAACTGGAGCGAGGCGAACCACGAAGAAATATGCTGGACAAGTTCCTGCTCTACTATCTTTTAGTTCGCGAGTCACCGGTGATAACCGTCGGAAGTTCATCAGCGTAAGCTGCTCTGATTTCCCCGAATGACCGTTCGATACTCTGAAGAAGTCAATCGAATATGAGGTTCTAGCGGGCCGGACCAAGGACTGCCCGCTGGGGGCATCCCCTGGAGGCCCGCTTGGAGACCTCTTTGTCACTCCAGGCGATTTTTACCCGCCGATATTCTCAAAGTAACTCTGAAATACTTCGTAGATGTTCTTCGGGCAATTACGATCTGCCCAAAACTGGAAAATAAGGGGCCATGTTATCGAGAGCTTATCATATATCGAATAGGAGCTCGATGGCATATTTTTTGTCTTGAGAGCGAGCTACCGCATCTCGACAATTGCGTCTTTCGTCGACTTTCCTGGCATAAGCCGTACTGTCGCACGAATAGCCTTCCCCAGCAAGGACAGTACACGTGAGGATGCGATGGAGGATTTTTTCGAAACATTTCCCAATTAACAATAGGAGACAGATGGGGCGGTATAATTTGGGGTTGGACACGTCTTTGTTGGCTCCCTTGAGGTGTCTTCTAAGCGTACTCACCTCCCGAACCGCTGGAAAAGCGCCGGGCTCCAGGCAGGCATTGAAAAGTCTGGTGAAAGTGACGGAGAGATTGTGGACTACCATTTTGAGAACCCTAACTTCGATCAAGTCACAGCCCAGGACTTTGTCATTTTTCGAGACTGTAAGTTGGTATCCCCCGTGATGAGGTCACCTTTTCCCCTGAGATATACCAGTACTCCTCCCTTATACCTCAGATGCTCCTCTATATCGTCTCTCTATCGAAAATTGTGAGAGACAAAATAAAACGAGGAGCCGGGCGTCTAAACTTCCACGCACACTCAATGTGGCGTATAAAGTTAGGTGATGTACGGGATGACGATGTCGATACATTCGATATATTCAGCGAAACAGTATCTAGGGCTATAGTTTCTTACGTGGGTGAATTTCACCACTCTCCAGCCCCCACAGCCTCTGATAACGACATTGGAAAAATCCAGTCCTGCTGGTCTTGGTACCATTACGAAAACCTCGTTGAAAGTGACATTCCCTCAAAAAGGCAATAGCACCCTTATGCACGGGGAACCCATTCCAATGTCAATTTTATATAATCGAATTCGATTTATATGATTTAAGTCAACTAAATTAAGTATAATCCAATCTTTCGCGTGGCATTTGCCTTTTGCCATTGTTGTTGGCATTACCATCGCCATCCATCATTATTATTAATTCAAATTTTGGTTTTAGGTTAATAATTGACATTAATGTTTGCCGCGCATCATTATTGTCGGATTATTCTGATTATTGAAAAAAAAATTTTCTTTACATAAAAAACGGGTTCTTGGTGTCTCATGCCATTTGGAATCAGCACTTCAATCATGAAAGATATCAAATGTACTGGCTAATGATGTCGAGACTTGGGGAAGAGAAGAAAGTAACCGCATATTGAACCCTATCGATGGCAGCGTTCAGAAGCCAGGTCAATTAACCACGCTGATATCCGCCAAACATCGCCGAAAACCTCACGCCCCGGCGCACCTGGCATCACAGCGGCCCCAAATATCGACAAACATCGTCGCCAGAGTATTACCATTCTAGTCCATCATTGAGAGGCATAACACGCACCTGCTTTCAACACACAAGCCCACATCGCGTCAAATCGAGGATTGCCGTTATTCGATTTCTTCAATACGAAGACGTTGTACCGTCCATTATGTTACGGCAGGGAGAGAGCGAAGTAACCTTTATCGTTTATCTGCGCCAATACCCGCGTGAGATAATGTCAACCCACTGACCCTTCTCCTCTGAAACATTGTCGAGTCACGAGAACCAGTTTACCAGCTTTTCAAAATCGTCACCATCAGGAGCACTTAGACGCACATTATTCTGGGCTCCATCGAATGAACCAAAGTCATTGAGGACGCCTATCGCACTGTCCTTATGGCAGGAAATCTTCGATATAATCCGCGATAACTCGGACATCCTCAACCTAACTGTTACCTCTATCGCGGGAGAAGCTGCTTACGGCCCAGCTCACATGGTATAAACCACGTTTTTCATTTTTCCTAACGTACACCGATTGCCGCAATAAATTCTACACATCCAGACGTATGTATTGGTGTTTTTCCAGTATTCCAGATAAAAATGTGGATAAAATTATAGCATTGAAGTTAGGCACCTTGTTTCATGAAAAATTCATAAGTGCATTGCGGAGCGCCCTTAAATAAGAACTGTAGACATCCTTCTTGGGAGTGACTGGTGAGTTGATTGATTTCCTCATCTTTACATATCGCTAAAAATGTAGAAGTCCGACTGAAGAGAAAAGCAGTGAATTCCTCATCTACACCAGCCGTGAATCCTGTTACTTGATAACGTTTGGCTTGCAACTCATTGAGTTTCTTCATTGGGAGGACGTTGACTGACGGTATTGAGTTTGTTGAAATTCAGTTCGTAAATGTAATGGTGAAGAGCTTTCTCTTTTGCTAGTGCTATTCCAAAGATGGCTGATGTTGAATATAAGAAACGTCAATTCTTTTATATGCGGCTGCATCTTCACTCAACCTAAAGACGATCACACTATAAACTATTCTCATGCCGAATATGTCCAAACTTTGGACATTACTTGGCGCTAGCAATGCCTCCGAACATAACACATAAAAGATGAAAGTGTACAAAAGAATGGACACTCGGATTAGAAATTAATGTGTTCCTAAAAAATCATGCATCTATGTTGTAAACCTGAAAAATAATTTTCTAGAACTAATGAGTAAAAATGACAAAAACTGGTGTTTTTGTAAAAAAACTGAGCCAAGGATTCAATAAGGAAAATAAAAAAATCAGTAGAGCACCATCTTACTTGGCGCGGTTTTTCCCAAGAACTAGAGTTAGAGCCAAAGACTATCGTGGGTCACTTTTGATTATTAATCAAATTCCATTTTAGCATTATCCTGTAAATAAAACCGCGCCAAGTAAGTTGGTCCTGCCTCTACTGATTTTTTTAGTTTCATTGTCGAATCCTTTCAATCGAGTCGCATCACTTTTCTTGATGTTTTCATCTACATTTTCCGAGTTTTTTAAATTTCTAGGAACGCGGTATTTTGGCAAAACACGAGTTTTTTACGGAATCAATTGAGCGAAACTTTTACTTGGTTCAGTTTCTTTCACAAAAACACCAGGTTTGTCATTTGGCGAGAATTCACGGATTTTTTCAATATAAGTAAAGAATTATTTTCACGTTTTCCAAATTTTTGTCACCCACATCACGTTTTCAGTTCATTTGAACTATATTATTTGCATGATGTTTTTACATTATACACAATGTGTTTCACAATTTGAAAAACTCCTTTCTACATTTATGCATGTATTAGACTGAATCAATTTTTTTTTAATGTCGAAATCTCGAAATTCATACTTTCATTAACCTCCTAAATCGACTTCAGTCACATGTGTAATTAAACACATAAATAGGTCAAGAACTGCATATAATTTTCCCATAAAACGCAAAGCTCATATTCGTTACCATAAAGTAAACAATTATAATTATGGAACTAAATGAAAAACACAAATTCCCAGACAAGAAATAAAACACTCCCCTCTGTTTCCCTGTTACAGTTCAACGGTTTGAATATGCTGATGACAACATCTCAACCGGACAGTCACATAGGATGTGTAGACTGTCGTCTTTTGCTTCATTACAGAATCTGCACCACCCATCCGAGTCCATGCCGATGACTCTGTAATGTTCTTTAAATCTGCCGTGGCCTGTGAGCAGCCTGATCGTAGTAATCAGACTCTGCCTATCCATGGCCAGTAGGTGTTTCGACCTTCTCTTGTTAGGGCCAGGCATGAGTGCCCTTGCCTTCCTGCAGGTCTTTGTGTCTTTCACCGCTCCGATTGTTCACGTGGGAGCTTTTCCTTTATGTGGCTTATACCCACGGTATGTGGAACTCCCACTGGCGAAGTCTCGACCGTATTTATTGCCCCCTGCTTCGCCAGCCCGTCTGCCATTTCGTTGCCGTGGATGTCCGTGGATGTCAAGGGTTACCTTACTGCTGGTCTCAAGCTTTTCCAGGCTCTCCACGGTTTCCCAGATCAACTTAGAGTCAGCACTGGATTTGAGGAAAGCTTTCATAGCGGCTTGAATATCTGTCTACAAGAAAATGTGTTTGTTGATTGGCATCTAGGACACCAAAAGCTCTGAGCACTTTTTGATTGGCGGAAGTTCCGCTTGGAATACGGTGGCCATAGTCCCTAAGGACCAGTTGCACCTGTAGTTTTCCTCTGGCCCGTACAGTCCTGCTCCAAAGTAGCCTCTGTATCCTGAGCCATCTGTATACCAGTGCCTGACATTGGTGCCTGTTTTCTCTACAGTTTCCCAGTTCTCCCTCTCAGGGATGTAGGTTTTAAAGGCATTCCTGATTTGGTACTTCTTGGTCATTCTATCTCGATACATGTTCCAGCGATTTTTCTTGAGGATCTCAAGCTTGACGTGTGCCGCTTCCGCTTGCATCCATTTCCCCTGGCACATGTGTCTATAAGCTGTTGATTCTGCCCTACTCACCACAAGATGATCAAGTGAAGGCACGTCCAGGGGGTCCGTGGGTATCGTTCTCATGGCCCCGGTCGCTGCCCTCGGAAAATTTCGCCGCAGGCATGTTAGCCGGTTCCTTATCTCCACCCTCTTCGCGCTGGGCCACCAGACTACAGCGGCGTACATCAGCCTCGGCAGCAGAACCATCTTGTACAACCATAGACTGATCTTTGGGCTAAAGCCCCAGTCTCTGCCCATGGCTCTTTTACATGCCCACTGTGAGGCATACGTCCTGCTCATCTGTGTCTCTATGTGCTCCCTCCAGTAGAGTTTGGCGTCCAGTTGAACACCCAGGTACCTCACTGAGGTAGCATAGGCCATCTCTGCACCCGGTAACCTTAGCGGCTCCGGATTTATAACTCTCAATTTCCTGGTATATATCATAGCCGACATCTTCTCAGTGTTAACTGAGAGTTTGAGACCATTGCTCTCAGAGAGTAGTTACGTCTATCTCTCAGCACATGGAGGAACTTGCCCCTACCGACAATGGCTACGTCATCAGCATATCCATATACCAGGAAGCCCTATTACCTCAGTTCTTCTAGGAGCTCGTCCACGAGGAGGTACCACAGCAGTGGAGATAGAACTCCGCCCTGTGGGCACCCACCCTTCGGACGACTTCCTATCTGTATGGCATCGTGATCGGCAGTTAATGACCTGCCCACCAACATGATTTGTACCCAGTCAATGATGGTTGATGGAAACCCCCCTTTTTGACGTGGTTGTTTTTATAATCTCGTTTCCTGTGCGGTCAATGGTTCCCTCAATATCGAGGAAAACGCCCATTGCCTAGCTCTTTGCCCCTATCTCCTCCTCAACCTTTGCCAACAGGTGGTGTAGGCTGGCCTCAGTGGACCTCCCCTCCCTGTAGGCGTACTGAGCAAAAGACAGCTGCCTGGCTGTTAGCAGTGTGTTTCTTCTGTATCTATCCATGAGCCTCTCTATTGTTTTTAAAACAAAGGAGGTTAGGCTAATGGGTCGAAAGTCTCTTCCCTTGATATAGCCCTTTCGGCCGGGCTTGGGTAGGAAGACTATTTTCAATTCCTTCCAAACTCGTGGTACGGTTCTCAGTGCTACGTTGGCTCTCAGAATTATTGTAAGAGGCCCCAGGATGATATCTATTCCCCTTTGTAGTAACACCGGGTAGATACCCACCCGTTTTAGTGCTTTCAGGGTTTCAAAGGATTTCATCGCCCATTCTACTGCCTGTGGGTACGCAATTCTGGCTGCTAGTGGCCAATCCTGTAGTTTATACAATCTTCCAGTTTCCATTGCGGTCTCTTTCACGCGTTCCGTGCATGTGAAGCCAGGAAAGTGCTGCTCAAGCAGGAGTCGAAGAGAATCCTCCGAGGTCCACGTATAGCTGCCGTATGGCTTCATTCAACAGCCTAGGTTGGCGCCACCCCGACCCTCCCTTACTTTAACTAAAACGGACAGGTTCTCAACTCCGTTGCTAAACCTCTTCCAAACTTCGTTCCTCCATGGCCCTCCTCCTGCGTAGGTTACTGCAAAAGTTTTTCACTTTGTTCCACGCTCTCCGTACCTGATACCTCAGGTTAGCTAGGGTTGCGTTCCACTAGCTCATCTGTTTGGTTGTTTTAATGGCTCGCATTGCACAGTTGTTTTCAAAGGAACTCCTGATTGCTTCTCCGAAAGATTCGGCCGCATATTCCAATCGCTCCTTGTTCTCGAACCTACTCTGTACGTCCTGGATTCTCAGTGAGAGCTCCTCCTTGTACCCCGCCCAGTCCTTTTTTTCGGATTTCTCTTTCGAATAGAATCCACCCTGCCATTCAGCGTGAGGCGTATTTGACGTTCTTTAGAGCAGGGATGGGCAACCTCCAGGTAGCTCGGAGCAGAGTCATAAACTCGAGATAGGAATCCAATCAAGATTATCACCATGCCAATTATGAGGGTCCTACGATCATAGTGGGGACGATAGTGGGGGCCTCACAGTCACCGTATTGGGGAGCGTCCCATGACGCTTCCGCCAAATGGTAACATGGGAAAAATAGCGGCGCCGATTAATATAAAAAGAAATTCAAAAATTCACACATGGACAAAAATATTCCTGAATATGATGCTGTAACAATTCCTTCAAATTGTTAGCCATATTTTATTCAAACCCGACTAGAATCTGGAAGAAGCACATGAATGATTTTTTTACAGTGAATCACATATTTTTGCCCACTCTTGGCCACCATTTTTCAATGCTGTTCAACGGAAACCACGGGAGGGTGGTAAGCGTATTCCGTCAGGAATAGGAAGGAAAATGTAGGGATAGGGAAATTGGAAAAAATTATGGAACAAGTAAAAATAATCAGGAGCTGATCAATAAATAATCTCAAGCATCATGCGAGCGTCTCTCATGCGTTCCCCGTGCAAGTGAAGAATTGAAGTTATAAAGCAGATAACATTCGGTCAAAGAGAGTCAATGAGAAGGCTGAGGCGTCATACCGAGTGATAATTTATTTAAATCCGGCTGATAGTCACATATTGCTACTAAAATGGCATCATTGAGAGAAGAACCTGTCAAAAGTGTTCCGAGGACTTAATGCTATTCATGTGAGAAAATACCGATTCACATAAGTACGAAGTACCGAATATACTACAAATTCGGTTATAAACAATGAAGAGATTCGGATAACTATTATTTCGCGAAATCTTTTGCCATGGATCATCGATGTAATTGATTTGTTGAAAATATTTATCTTGACGTAAGTTATTCATTTCATGATATTCATGATCGCGCTAACTGGATGATTATTTTTGATGATTACGGAAATGATATCGTTAATTTCCGTAGACGAATTAAGTGGAGAACGTAAATATTTTATAATTTCACACGTTTCAATAATGTCCTTAAATCTTCAATTTAAATTATCTATAAATTGTTGCATGCACTCTGCAAATTGCTGAAAATCGAGCTTAGCGCTGTGCTCGTTCGCGACAAGACTGCGCAAACGTATAAATGGGAAAAGAATTGAATTTTTACCCAATTCAGCGATCGCTGATGATAAGAAATTTATTTAATTTTCAAGAAATTTAAGATGTTGCCAAAAAAATCTCCGACAACCTTGCATCTCTTTATTATAAATATTAACATTCTCTGTTAAGTCCTCGGTGAATGCCAATTTCGAGCCCCACTCCACATCATTTAATTCATCGTGTACATCTCCGCGCGATTTTAAAAAAGAAACAATATCATCTAAATTTTCCAGAACCGACACACCATAACACCCTTGCTAAGGCACCCAACTTCTGTATGAAACAATAAATCGCGAGATTCTAAATTATTCTCTTCTTAGAAAACATTATACAGTCTATGCTGCAAGGGTTTTGAAATGATCGAATTAATTATTTTAACTGCTAAAGTTATGACATCGCCCGAAATTTTTTTAACGCATAATGCTAGCTTGTGTAACATGCAGTGATAATGATGGAATTTAGTGAACTCAGCGTCATTGTTACACTTCGCTATTAAATCTTTCGTTCAACCAGTCAAGTTCGCAGCACCATCCGAGCTGATAGCTACTAATTTGTGTGGTGGCACTTTCGCGGAATGAAACTTTGCTTCAGAGCATCAAAAATATCTTCACCCTTCCTACTCGTTTTCAAGGAAAATAATATAAATAACTCTTCGCGAATAGACAGATCGGAAAAAACTAAACGAACGAAGATGACGACTTGAGCACAATCGGATCTATCCGTAGATTTATCTAATTGAAATGCCAAAAAACAACAACGAGAAAAGTCATCTGTTAATTGAGCCCGGAGGTCAGCACCGATTGCTTCAATTTTTCGTATTATTGTACGTCTTGATAATGGTAAATTTTCAACAAATCTTGTCATTCTGTCGTTCAACAAAGTTCCTCGAAATAACGTTTCCATATGGGTTACAAAGAGCTCTTTATATTTTTCACCGGCAATAAATGACGATTTGTCTTTTGCGATTTCATAGGCGGCTCGAAATGACATTAAATTCGCGGCTTGAAGGTCATCATTATACAAAACATCATTTGAATGTCCGGACGCTAAAATTCTCTCTTTTAAAACCCGGATTGCGTTAACGCGTTTGTTCGAATGAAGTGGAAAACTCAAATCGAAGCTACTACGATTTTGCCTATAATGCCTCTCAATGTTAAAGGACCTCATGCCTTTAAAGTGCAAATGACACAATAAACATAGAACCTTTTCACCGATTTTGCTGCATGCATAGCAATGTTCCCATTTATTATTAAATGCCGGAGATCTCTTGCACGTATCATTTCTGATTTTGTGAGCAAGTTGAAAAGGAGTGTCTGCGTTGCGGGAAGAAACTTGATTCTCCGAAACATCTATTGATTACAAATGTTTGGCTTTCATAACGCGAAATTCATTAGCTCGCGCTAATGACTCTAGGGGAAAAGTCATGTCCAAAGCTGCATGCTTGCTTTTGTAATGTCTCTCAACATTGAATTCCCGCATGCAGGTAAATTCACATCCACACAATAAACACAATGTTTTCTCACCAATTCTCGTACATGCAAAACGAAGTTCCCAGTCAATGTCAGGCTGATTATTTTTAAACCTTTTCACGGGAGGCTCCATGGCACAAATGTGTAAACAATTGACACTATGATATAATCACTATGCACAATCACTGACTATGTCAAGATAATCTGAACCGCGATTTGGTAACAAAACACACGTCGGCATTTAATGCTCCAAAAGAACAGATTGAAGTTGGGGAATTGAATACATTTGAAAAATTTGACTAAACCCCATCCCTCCCGCAATTTTACGGTCAAATCCGACCAATCGGCCAAGTGCAATACAATTGATGACTACGGTTTCGGCATAGAGTCTCGAACAGAAATATTCCCCCAAAATATTGTTTTAGAATTTGGAAAATTTCCTGCGCTCTGCCGCGCACATATCCTATTTAGTTAAAAGAAAAATATATATAACTTATAGTATATAGAACTTGTTGCTGATTAATTGAAAATCTGATTCTCAGTATTGTTCCAAGGAGAAAGTATAGAACGAAATTTAAAAGGTATCAATAATTAATACGGTGAAGATTAATTACAATTTATCATTTTGATTTTTCAACTCTTGCCAGAGTGCATTAGTCAATTTTGAAGCGATTAAATTGCACTATGACAAACCCGACAGCTTGCAAAATTTTACAAGATGAAATATAAAGCATTTCATAATTTTAAATTTCACCTGTATTATAAGAGAAAACGTTTTATTTATAATTCTTCTTTGAAACTGCAGACCCTGCATTCAATCGCTTCAAATTCTGCTGCGTTATTGACCTAAATATGAATAACTAATACTCATTGAAGAAAACATGAAAGTACTCTTAAAATTCAGCTGTCCGAATTATTAACATCTTTTAACTGGCT